GACGAAACAGTAACAGTCAGTAGTGGCCAATATTCAAAAAGATTTTCCTATCTTTGTTTTCTTTTTCTTGTTGCCTTTGCCTTTCAATTGGCCACCGTCCCATCTTGATTAGATGCCAATCAGCAGCATAGCAAATACCATACGATATATTCGACTCGACACTGTTCGGGCATTACTCGCGTATGCCAGGCGAAGGTTTATTTTTGTATACAGGCGTGTATGTGTGTATAATATGTGTGAGTATTTGGCGCGCCATTGGGTGGGCTACCCACAGCTGCTTCACTGTTCACACTTGTATGCGAAACTCGTGCTATTTATGTACGCCGTCACCAGTCCCCTCCCTTTCAATGCATTTCCCCAACTTTATCTATGAGTGCATTGGTAATCCATCTGTTTTAAATGTTATACATCAATATATGTTCATATATACATACTTATATGTATAAGTATGGTATGTATACATTGAATATCTGTGGTATCGCCCTGTGCGCCCTTTTAAATAACTTGCGCGACACCTTGTCATCCGCTCTCCGTTTTCATCGCCACTCTGCTACATGGCAGCTCTCAGTAGCGCGGGCGTACATTTTTGCGCTCGTAAATCGTCAGCTGCGTGTGGGCCCTCACACGTCTAATGTCTAATCTGATTGGCGATTTATGGAAATTTTGTTGCCTGCTAACTTATTAGTCACACAGGCAAACATACATAAGAACGTGTTTGTGTATATATCAGCATTTATTTATTTATGTTCACAACAAATGTATGTATGTATACATTGTATGTGTGTTTTGTCTGTCTGCTAACTGTTCTAATGCACCCACACAAATACTACACACATCCGCACACACACACACTTACACACACACAAACATACATATATATATTTATGTACATACATATGTATATGTAACTGCCTGCCAATAGTGTTGCAGTCTTCTTATTTTCTCTTTCTCTTTTAGCGATCATTAGTATGTTGGACATCATTTGAATGCTGTTGTTATTGTTGTTATTGGCTTTAACACACAACGAATCAACTGCATAAATCGCTTGTGGCAATAATGTTGGTTGATGTTGTTGCTGTTGATGAATGCGCTTGTATGAATGGCGTTAGTTATTGGTTAGCTACTTACTGACACTTGAAATTTAGTTATTTATTTATTTGTTTCGAGTTTTGGTGGGTGTAAATTTATGTTGTGGTTATTTGATTTAGTTGAAAATGTCTGTTTTGGAGGAGCCCATGTGCAGACATATTTATTTTAATTTTTTTTACTCTTTATGTTTATTCTGGTAATCAGAATACAGGTTCAATATAAAAAATTAGCTTAAAATTATAACTGCAAATGTGTAAAAATATTTGAAATCATATATGCGACTGCAGATTTTTTTTTTTAAATTTGTTAGTCACTTTTCATGGAGATTTCCTTTTTTCTTAAATCACCATTTTAAATCATACTTTTCTTTAAAATTTCTAAAACAATCTTTACATTTCACTCCCTTGAAACAAAAAAAAAAAGTTGAAGGTTGTGAAACCTTCAAGTAAAATTACAAATTGGATTTAGTTAACTCTTTTATGTACATGACAATTTTTTGAACCCGATTTAGCTCAAAAACAAAATTCCTTATGGTATCTAAGTGATATATAAGACGTACAGCTATTATAGAGAGAAGCCAATTTCTCACTTCTGGATTCGCCCGAACTTAGCTTACTAACATAAATTCCATAAGTTTCGAAATTCTGAACGGTAAGATTTTTATTATTTGTTTTGAAAATATTTTATGAAAAGCTTTGATTTTTCATTTTTTCTTAAAATTAAGTTTTGGTTTTAGAAATTAGAGTTTATGGAATATCTAAGCTCTGGCACGAGCGAGAGAATATTTAGGAGTGGGGAAGAGGTTGACTCTTAAGGCAGTTCTGGGGTGAACTCCATATTCAAAAATTAGAGGTGGAGCGGGATGACCACTCCTCCTTTTACACTTTGAATTTATTGGGTGGAGATGTTGCGGGATGACCATTCCATTTGTTGCGAGGGGAGTTCAATTGAACATTATGGTTCTTCAAAATTGGCGAAATCGGAAAACTTCATCAACTTTTGATTTTTTTAGATGTGAGAGTTAATATTCAATCCTAAAATTCCAAAACTTTTATATGTTCATGAAAGGTATAAACACTTCGGCGTCACCAAAGTCTGTACTTCTTTTTTTTCTGTATGGATCTATAAAACTCTTTGAAGATTGGTAAATTTTCCTAAATATTTTTTTTCAATTTTTTCTCTTTTTTTATGGTAAAAAGTGACAAATGTGTGAGCAAAAAAAAAAAAAAGGAAATATAAAAAATTTTGATAAACAATTTCAGCTTAATTCAAAAGGAAATTTTTAATTTTGGCTGAAATAAATTTTTTATCTCTCAATAAATTTCAAAAACACCTCACACTGTAGACGCATAAAAGTACCCACAAGTAATATTTCGTTATGGCCAAGTTACTGACATGTAAATGACAATTTTCCAAAACTTTTTCTGCCCATCTCAGCAAAAGAAGAGAAACAACTCAAACTGTAAGGTAAAAATTGAAAATTAATAAAATGTATGTGTACAAAGAGGAAATTTGAGAAAAATGCCCTAAGCAAACAACAAGTAATACTTGCAGCTCAAGGACAGCAGGTGGCAAATTAAAAACAAAAAATAACTAAAAAAGTAAAAAAAAAATTAAGAAAAAACATAGCACAATTTTTATTTTATTCTTAACTTGTTTATTATGAAAATAAAAGTTTTTTCAAACACGCGCATGCTAATTTTTATGCTGAGAGTATGGAAAGTATGAATGTGTATTGGCTTTCTAGCAACCCCTAAAGCAAGTAGCAAGTTTTTACTGCCTTTCTGTTTGCTTTTGTTTTTCTTTCGGCGCTAATGAATTTTTAATGTGCATTGGCGCGCAAACTTTGCGTTTATTGTGGCAATTTATTCCGCAATTTTCTTAACCACAGATGAAACGAGAACAAAACTTACCCAAAAAAGCGCAAAACTGTGCTAAAACAAAATCACAAGAAAAAGCTTACACAAAAAGCTTAAAATATTTTTATGAAAATTAAATATCGTTTCCACATCAGTGGCGTGCCAAAGCGCCCACTTATCTACTACGCTTTTGCCAGCTTAACAACCACCCATCAATTGTTTACATACATATTTACACTCATACAGCATCTCTCACCCACAACAACTGCGGCACAGCGTTCAACTTTATTACACATAAATTACCCCGATTTAGCCGGTAAGCGATTTCTTCCCTATTTATTTTCCAACCGACGCGCGCTCGTGTGCTTCCACCTTATCGCATCTTAACAGACCGCCCTATGCACGCGGCAGTGCGCTTATCTTATCATCACACAGCAAACAGTTATATATGCTTGTATAGGAAAAGCATGAGACCAAAAAAAATCAATGGATAACAGCAACAACACTAAGAGTGCCACTTTACTGCACAGCATTTTTAAATAATCATCAACAATTCATCAAAACGTTTAAGAGCAACACCGAACGCCGCGACGCAGGCAAGGTCGTCTTGGCGTTGAGTATGGGTGCGCTAGCTGGTTGGAGGTTGAGTAGCATCCTGAGTGACCGCTATTATTGTACTTGCCACAAATACATTGCAAACGCCCGGCGAAAGTGCAAATCTGATTTCCGTTTGAGCTATTTTGTACTACACACGCACGTTCAAGCGCTGATGAGAGGCGCGCAAAGGCTTTCACCCCAACTTGACTTGTTGTAAACGTTAATTCATCTTAGGGTTGCTCTTGCAGCACACATGTATGTTTGTATATGTATATGCGTTTGGGTGTCATTTTTAATCTCATCACATTTCCGCTACCATGCACTTGATTTCCTGCCACCAGTGCGGAGGGTGATGAGCCAACAGGCGGTTTGGCACTAAAATTTGGGGTAAATGAGGTCACTTGCCACATATGTATGTATGTGCTTTGGAGAGTTTGATACTTGTAGGTGGGTATGTTTATGTAACGCGCCGTACTGCAAATGACATAAGCGCACAAACGCGCGCATTCATATAAATAAACACTGCGTTCTACGCGCTACACGGTAAATGGTGTGTGAAATCGCTGCCGCGCACTTTACGAGTAGCGTTAAGCGCGCTGCCTTATACAATTTACTACCCGCTATAACTAAAGCGTAAATATGTTTGTAACTTTTGAAAAATTTGTTTTGCTTCCTTTTTGTGTTTGTAACAACATACTTGTAGTTGGTATTATAAACGACTTAAACGCTTATATCATTAAACTATCATCAACGGATTTACGACAACGACGCGATAGCACCCGCTGCGCGGCGTACTATGATCAACGCGTTGATACCGGAATCACACACCCTGTTTATTTTCTTTTTTTTTTTTCTGTTTGTTTTAAGAATATATGTATATCTACTGCGGCGGTTAGGCGTGTGAAATTCGTTAGCGATTTAACGTTTGTTAGGCAAATAAATTCTGACAGGATTAGCATGCTAATATGCATATGTAACAGTGTGATATAACTGTGTATGTGTTAGTGCCAGAAATTGGACTGCCGCATTTAAGTTGAGTCATTTTTATTACCAACGCGGATGAGCGCGCGCCACCGAAAGCATATGCATCACGGATTAGCTTAGTGTATTAGCGGCTACTTGTAACTGACACAACTCCCATGAGAGCGTAAACTACTGCGCGTTTTATAGCGAAAACAACAAATGAACTTTAGTTTTGCAGGAAATAAAGCGTGGAAGTCACTTATGTACGAATAGAGTAAGAGCGCATGACACAACGGTAGTGTTGGTGAGCGCGCGCCAAGTTTGAAGGCCTACAGAAAACATATTTCTACTTATATACATATATATACTCATACTTATATCTATAAATTATCTACTGTTTTTTGGCGACAAGATTTCTCTCAAATAATTTATCTTGGCCGCTTGTTTTATATTAAAAAAATTAAAATATTCTTTTTTATTTCTTCTACTTACATTATGCAACTTGTAGTATAGCCCACAGGCATTACACACTGGTTCACCGCTTGCGTTCCGCCGCCAAAGGGTTGTCGTTGTGGTTTTGCAATTCGCACAGGATGTCCCCGCACGTTTCGCAGCACTCTGTAGTGACTGTAGTGTCTGGAAAGATAAAGCAAAAAATAAATTAATGAAATGTTGGTTGTGGGTTGTGTGTTTTAGTGCAAAAAAAGGGGTGAATATTTTACATATAACAAACTTTCTTGGCCATAAATTCAAATTTCATGTAATTTTTTATTTGTGGTTGCTGGAACAAGAAAAAATCATAAATAAAAGGATTATGGCTGATTAAGTAATTTGTTGTTGTTCCAATCTATGTTTTGTTTTGTGGTAAGAGAGGGGCCATAGAAATTTATAAATTAAACGATGTGGGAAAGTATTTCGAAGGTGTTTCCATACCTACAAATTTAATTATAATAAAGTTTTCAATTATTTCTTTTTACTTTTAATATATTTAATTTAATCTTCATTTGATTTAATTGAACTTTTTATTATTAAGATTGATTGCTTAGATTAGCTTTAATTTCTTAATTAATATTTAATTATTTTAAATTTATTTATTTCTGTTTTTTTAATTTTTATTCAATTTAATATTATTTCAATATTTTATTTTATTTCAGTTTGTTTTTTTTTTTAATTTAATTTATTATATTTTCTCTATTTTGCTTCATTTATTTTGATTTATATCACATTATGTCATTTTATATAAATTTTTTATTTAATTTTATTTTATTTTTTACTCATTTTATTTGGATTTATTTTATTTCATTTCAAATAATTAAATTTTAGTTAATCTAATTTAAGATATACTACTAATATAATTTAAATTTATTTGTTGAATTCTATTTTTCCTTTCCTCTTTTAATTTATTTTTTATATAAATTTATTTTTTTTTTTTGGTTATATTTTTTATATTTAATTTTATTATTTTTTATTTTATTTTATTATTTTGCTTTATTTTATTTAATTTTTATTTATTTGATTTTATCTCATTTAATTTTATTTTTATTTATTTTATTTCATTATTTTGCTTTATAATATTTAAATTAATTTTATGTGTATATAAATATTTAAAAGCGCTGTGACCTATCGTTAAATCTCATCCATCGTATTTGATGTGCCAGCGAGTGAGCTCACTACTTTAACATTCATACATAAACATACATATTCACAAGAATGTTGATAGGTATGAAAATCAGACTGAAAGTGTTGGTGTAACAAGTAATACATATGTATATACAGTAGTTTGGCGAAATATGCTGCAAGAGCTGAGTGCAATGGAACGCGGAGGCCAGTAAAAGTAAATGGACAGTGTTGTTTATCCAGGTTATGTGGCAGGGTGTTGGCGAGTATGTAGTGTCTTAATGTAGAATTCATTAAAATGAATCTTGTTAGCATTTAAATGTTTCGTTCATTTATTTTATTTTACATATGTATATTTTTTTCATCGCCTTCACTCATGTTTGTCGCCTGGTGTGTGTTGTGCGTGAGGTGTGAAATGTGTTGCACCAACGAAGTAAGACGCAACACGAGCCTATTAACGGCAACAAGTGCAAACAGAAATAAAATAACAAGTTAAATAACAGTAACAACAACAATAACAGTGATTTCAGCATCATCAACACCAGAGACCAGCAAGAGTTTTGTCGAATTGTCATGTTAACAACTTAATTTATACTGTTTGATGCGAATTAAATGGAAAAATATATAGAAGTGTGTGTTAAAAGTTTCTGTATGCTAAAATGATTGTGCAACTGCTGGATTAAGAGAAAATACCATGATATAAAATGAATTAAATAAAGTGCGTAGAATTCTAAAAAATTAAAAAAAAAAAAAATTTTTAAATCTTTGGAGATTTTTTTTTTTAAATAAATATCACTTAAAATATATTTTTATGAAAAATATGTTTTTTTTTGAATAAACTAATGATTAACAGATTCGTTTTAAAAAGTTTTTTTTTTAGCAATTCGTCGCATTTTCTCCTCATTTTTTTTTTGATTTTAATAAATTAAATAAAAAAATAAATAATTAAAGAAAAGAAGTATAATTGAGATAACTTATAGTATTTAAATTTAATTTTTTTTTTTTAAATTTCACACTTTTTTCAATCCTTTCTCAAAAACTAAAATATTACAATAATTATTTGGATACAATAATCTACGGTTGTGGCACTGTACACATGCCCATGTATATTATACACATTTTTCAACTTCACCTCGTTTGTGGGCGTTGCAATTAATTTCGAATTTCGCACATTTCGCTAAAAAGTTAAACGATCTGTCGATTTCCGTTGCTGCCCCAAAATAATGACTGTGCCACAAAGCCACATTATTGCTGCTTCTGATGCGTATATGTATGCATATGTATATAGCTTTGTTGTTGTTTTAGCTGTTGCTTACTTTGCAATCGCCTCAATTGAAGTGTAAAATTATGTAAAAAAGAAAACTGTGGCAAGTTCGTTAGGCGCATGTGGTAGAAGTGGCACAGTGCAATGAACATTAGTTACGAATGAAAAGAAGGCAAAAGCAATAAAATTTATGCATTCGCAGAGAAAAGAACAACAACCGACAGAAAAGCAGCTAAAAATAATAGCAACAACCTTCAAACCACAGCTTGACTGCAACAGGTGGTGGCGATGGGCGAGTGCAAAGCAGAGCAAGTGGTATGTTTGTTGGTATGTTTGTACATATATGCCATAGCTGCTCGGTAAAACATGCAACTGCGATTGAAAAAACATCAATTAAAAGTTCATCGTCAAACATGATCAATAGCAGACAGCCAACACGAGGTAAAGGAGAAAAAAACCAACAACAACATCAGCAAAGAGCGAAAAAAAATCAGTATTAAAAATTTAACTGGCTCAGCAGCCAGGCAAGAAAGGCAAACGTTTCAACGTGTTGCATGAACATGATCACGTTCAAAGCAACAACAAGGGGAAGGAGAGCCAAGGGAAGGGGAAAAATCTTTCGAATGAAGTGAGTAAAAAAAAACTAGGCGGGTGCGCCTTACCGAATGCACGCCTGGCTTAAGTTGCAAGCTTATTAGTGGTGGCGACTATGGTGTTGCACTTGCCTAAAGTAATCCGTTCGAGAAGAACTTTAAAAAAAATGAATTGAGTATAAAATAAATTTAAAATTAAAAGAGGCGAATTTCGCGCTTAAAATAAACTTGCGCAACAACAACACAAGACAAAGAACAAGAGAAATAGCAGCCGCAATAAGACGCGTAAAAAACCGCTGGCCGTTGAGATTTAGGCGGAAAAAAAATTAAGCGGCAGCGTAAAAACAACGAGAACAACAGCTATGAAGTAACAACAACAAAAGTCCGAAACTACAATAACTGCAACAACATTACTTCGTTCGTTTCAACCATGTCGCATCATTCCACACAACGATACAAAAAAGAAAAAAGTCCAACGAACTCATGTTGCAGGCAATTCGTGGAAATCACGGAAGGACAAGAGCAGATAACTAACAAAAAAAAAAAAAATAAAGAGAAATTAAATATAAAAAAGCGTTATAAATAGAAAACGATTAAAACGAATTTATGGTAAAAAGAAATGCAAGGAACGACGAGTAAACCAGACTTCTTAGCTAAGCTTGCCGAGTAAGTAAGCCGTTCGTTTGCCTATATGCAAGCACCTTTGTAAGTATATAGATAAATATATATGCCTGTATTCCCATGAAAAAGTAGCCGTTGCTCATCATGTGAAGTTTTGTAAAATTGTCATTTTAATGAATTGGATGCTGTTGTTAACAAAAGTTCTTATGAAAAGAAGGCAATGCAAAGCAGAGAAGCACGCATGAAAGCAAAAGAAATAATAATGATGCTTGAAGGTACGCGTGGGGATTTATATTTATTTTTTTAATTTAATCTATTTTTTTTATTTAATTTAAAATTATTTTATAATAAATTTTATTGTCTCAAATTTAAAAAATATTGTTTTAATTTATACTATTCCGTTTTATTTCATTTAAATTATTTTCTTATTTATATTTTATTTTACTTAAAATAATATTTATTTATTTAAAATTATTCTATTTTTTTAATTAATTGTGTTTTATATTTATTTTTTCATTTTATTTTGTTTTATTTAAACTAATATATTTTTAAATCATTTTATTTCTTTATTTCTTTTCATAGCATTTTTAATTTTTTTTATTATGCTTTTATTAATTCATTTTATTTAATTTAAAACCTTTTAGTTTATTTTCAATTTTTTTATACAGTTTAAAAGATGTATTCTGTTCTGTTTATTTATTCATTTTCATTTTATTTAATTTAATTTATATTTACTATATTTTATTATGTTAAAGTTATTTTATTATATTTCTTTTGTTTTTTTTTGTTGATTTAACTTAATTTTTTTATATTAATTATTTTATTTCATTTAGCTAACTAGATTAATTTTAATTTTTTTAATTCAGTTTAATTAATTTTTTTTATTTAAGGTTGCTTTTTTAATTTTATTTGATTTAATTTTAATTTTTTTTTTTGATTTTATTTTAATTTATTTTATTTCATTTTAGTTTAGTTTAGTTTATTTTATTCTATTTTATTTTATTTAATTTTTTTTTAATTTTTTGTTTAGTTTAATATATTTTATATCTGATTTTCTTTAAAAAATAGGAAATAGAAGAAAGCATTTTGTATATAAATAAATTGTTTTTAATACCTTAGCCAGCACCTTATGACCAAACAAAAAAAAATCTGCGAAATAAGCAATCCGATGTAATATATATTAAAGCAAACACCTGTGGCTGTGCGTCAATGAGAAAGTACAATAAAATACATGCAAATATATATTAAAAAATGTGTAACCGGTAGTGCCAAAATATTTGAAGTTTGATGCATTATTAAGAAAGTTATATGCATACATACATACATACATACATACGTGTATGAAAATGTGAAAACATATGAACAATTGTCAGTTGCTACTTGATCATAATTCGTTTAAATTTCATTTCATTGAATTTTCTTCACTGCTCGCCATAATTTATAAGATTTATATGCTTATCTGGCAAGTAGCTGTTGTAACGCAAGCAGTCTTTTAAAAAACTTAATAAAAATTAATGAAGTGTGAGCATTAACACCATACT